GCGGGACTTTGACCAAAATTTGATTCCTCTGTCCTTTTGCAGGAGCAGGAGGACATTGGATTGGTAAAGGTGGTGTAGACTTTGGGCTCCACAGGATTCTTCTTCAGAGTCTGAGATGTATAGGATGTATTGGTTGCTTGGTGTGTCAACAGGAGAGAAAGACATATTTGTTTTCAGGCCGACTTACCGCCACAATTGGGCCCCAATTCCACGGCTAAGCAGGACAGTATTTGCCCCCTTTTACGACTTTTCTTATCCCGGTTGTTAAGTGAACCACTGCAATTGGCAACACGCTTGATGGCAATTAGCAATAACACTTAGATTTAGATGCCGCTTCATAGATCTTTACAGCCCTCTCTAAGCGGTTTACAGTCAGCCTATTTCCTCCCCCCACCCTCCAACAGTCTGGGTCCTCATTTTACTGACCTCGGAAGGATGGAAGGCTGAGTCAACCTTGAGCCGGTCAGGATCGAACTGCTGGCAGTGGGCAGAGTTAACCTGCAATGCTGCATTCTAACCATGGCGCCACCCAGGGCTCTTGATAAGTGAACCTCGCTTCCCCATTGCTTAGGTGATTGCATGATTCTAGGACAGGGGTCTTCAAACTTGGCCCTTTTATGACTTGTGGACTTCAACTCCCAGCGTTCCTCGGGAATTCCTGAGGAATGCTGGGAGTTGAAGTCCACACGTCATAAAAGAGCCAGGTTTGAAGACCCCAGGATTAGGATGTTTGTAGCCTACTCTACTGTGAATCAGTTTCAGATTAGGACACCCCCCCCTTTTTTTCTCTTTTTTTTTACAAAACATCTCTGCCCCTTACATGCCTTGTTTCCAGTGAGGGTATCTTAGATAGCTCAGGGAAGTTTGGTAGAAACCTTACTTTCCCCGTATCTGGTGTCCACACCAGTGCATTGCCCATAAATCTACACCTTCCTATCTCAAAAAAACCCCCCAAAGATCCTCTCTATTTTAATTCCTAATAAAAGCTACAGTGCTCTGGGTAATCCCATTGTTGCCGGTTAATACGCCCAGATTAATGCACAGAAATAACAAAAATTATCTCTTGATCCCCTCTGAACAGGATGTGAATTGAGCCTAGGGGGGGGGTTTACGGCTAACAATGACTGTTATTTCCTCAGATTTCCAATTTGGGAAGCCTCAGGAACAAAGGATCTGTCGGTGTGGCTTGTTGAGCAATCTTTAATGATAATATTTATCTCAAATGCTTTCTCCGAATGGGAAGTGGGCTTTTGGTTGGGAATTTTTCATCATGCCTTCCTTAGGGTGACCTTTGTAAGGAGGGGATTGCAAATAAATAAAACTGAAATGGCTTCTTAATCACAATGGGCAGATACCTCAGCCCAGTAAACAGCCTTCCCTATCTCAGCATCTGCTCTCCAGACAGGCTGGGACTACAAATGCCATAGTAATAGTAGTAAAGTTGGAAGGGACCTTGGAAGTCATCTAGTCCAACCCCCTGCTCAGGCAGGAAACCCTACACCATTTCGGACAAATGGCTGTCCAGTCTCTTCTTAAAAACTTCCAGTGTTGGAGCATTTACTGCTTCTGGAGGCAGGTTGTTCCAGTGGTTAATTGTTCTTACTGTCAGGAAGTTTCTCCTTAGTTCTAGGTTGCTTCTCTCCTTGGTTAGTCTCCACCTGTTGCTTCTTGTCCTGCCTTCAGGCGCTTTGGAGAATAGCTTGACTCCCTCTACTTTGGGGCAGCCCCTGAGATACTGGAAGACTGCTATCATGTCCCCCCTCGTCCTTCTCTTCGTTAAACTGGACATACCCAATTCTAGCAACCGTTCCTTATATGTTTTAGCCTCCAGTCCCCTAAACATCTTTGCTGCTGCCCAGTGTCTGCCCAGTCAGCTCCAGAAAATGGTTACATCCAACTACCTAACCCTTATCTCCAGTTGCCAAAGTCTTCCCAGTTGCTTTAAGTGCAGGGAAAATGATGACCTTGTAGGCTGGAAACGGTGGGAAGCCTGACATGTAGAATCTATCTTATTTCCCCCCTGCAACGTCTCATTAAAGCAGCTGTATCTGGAAGATAAAATGGCTGCTTTAATGAGCCATGGAAGCTTTGTATCAGCAACCCCAGAACTTCTGAAGCAGTTCCTCCAAATCATATCTGAAGCATCGCATCTGGAGAAGGATGCTGAATCTTCAAAGGGCTGAATGCATTTGGAAATCTGTTTTAGCTTTTAAGGGCTGGGGATAAGCTAGCGTGTACCTACAGTAATCCTGTTTACTTCATGCTTAATTTTTACGAGGAATCCGTTTGGGCTTTTTTCACGTTCTCCCGCAGCCTTGTGAAGCTAAGAAGGCAATTCCCTGTGCAAGACCAGGAATTGCTGGAACTGGTTTGTTCATCTTGGCTAACTTGGTTAACTCGCCCTTATGGCCAACCCTCTTAGTTTTAAATTGCTGACCCTCGAACCTAACCTGGGATCCATTTTTTTTTTTGTTCCCACAGTTCTCCTTGTGTTTTATTTTGACAGTCTGTCTTTCATGGTGACATTTCCCTGAGGGATCTTTGGGCTCAAGGCAAATAAACCACATTTAGCTTTTCATTGGTAATATGTGTCTTCTCCTTTTTTTAACAAAAAAAAAATCAGCCCAGCTGCAGGACTTCCTTTACATGTGCTGGTCAGCAGCTGTTTTCCTGACTTTCTCTTCCCCCTGTCTTTCTTGTTGGCCAAATTTTCCCCAGATGTTCTGGCTATAGCAGATGGGGAGGTCTCCACTCCACCTTGTCAAGACGACTTCGTCAAGCGCTGGATGAAATCCTTGTGACCCAAGCGACAGCCTTCCCAAACCGTGGCACGTCAATCTAATTTCTCAAACTTTTGAGCCCGTTTCCTCCGATCCGTTCCAATTTTGTTCTTCAGTCTTCTGTGTCCCGCTCGCTTCTAATCATAGCCAGGCCGGCTTCCCCCATTTGCCTTTTTATTTCGGCATTTGTCATAAAATAAAAGCAAATTATTCCCATCTCCAGAAACAATCTAGACTAATTAGTCGTCTAACCCAATAATTAGCTTTTTGATTCCCTGTCTGTTTTCCTACATTATTGTTAGTTTTCTCCCCACTCTTTAAGTTGTGGTTGGGTTTGTTTGTTTGTTTGTTTTTCTTCTTCACACCATTACAGATTAAAATGAGCCACATTTGCAGTTGATGGTGCGTATTTGTCCCCCCATTTGTTTATTATTATTTTTTCTCCAAGAGGAAGAATGGGGGAAACTGCAGTAGAAAAACTACTTCAAAAGCAGCCATAAACACAAAGATAAATTAAGGAAATTGAATGAGACACACTTGGAATGTGGCAATGAAGACTAATACGCCCGTGGCTTAAGGTTAAATTGCAGCAGTGTGAAAAATTATGTGTTTGCCCGCCCTGTCCCCGCGAATCCAAAATTCAGGGGTAGCGCTCGTTTGCTGAAATAGTTTCCTAAGGTTTCCAGGAATCTTTTTCATAGTGAAGGTGATTCAAATAGTGAAGAGAGCAGAACTGATCTCTGATAAGGGATGCTTTTTAAAAAAATCTGATATATTTAGCTCGGAGGAGAGAAAACAAGAGGGGACAGGCCAGACTGTAGATCTGTAAAAGGTAGTCCAGCTATAAATAAATTAGGCCAAATTTTGGCACTCATTTACCAAATCTTACATGGTGGCTCACGGCCCTCTAAAAAGGAGCGGGTGGATTCATTTGATTGCATTTGTCTCTGCATGGAGCTGTATTTCAATAGAGTGGCTTCCCAGTCAGCAGTTTCATAACTTCCCTTTTCTGTCCTGTTAACGGTTCAGTCAAACGTTTTGGGAGCAACCGTTCTTCCCGATCTCACGGGGAGGGAATCACCTGTCCTTCTGATCCAATCTCGGTCACCGGGCTTTGTACAACTAAATCTTTGGTCCCCAGTGACCATTTCAGATTGGATCCTGCAACATTATCCTGGGATGCATATATTCGCCTTTATTCATGAGTAAAAACAGGACATTTTGGGAAGGGTCCTTTCGGATGTCATTGGAGGATGAGCATTTTTATTTATATATGAGGATGAGAGAGAGAGAGAGAGAGAGAGAGAGATATGATGGGTAAATAGGTATATAGATGATAGGAGGGTAGATAGAAAGCGAGATAGATACAGAGATAGAGAGATGATAGATAGATAGATAGATAGATAGATAGATAGATAGATAGATAGATAGATAGATAGATATGATGGATGGTAGGTAAGTAGGTAGGTAGGTAGGTATAGATGATAGGTAGGTAGGTAAGTAGATGGATGGATGAATGGATGGATAGATAGATAGATAGATAGATAGATAGATAGATAGATAGATAGATAGATAGATAGATAGATAGATATGATGGATGGGTGGTAGGTAGGTATGTATAGATGATAGGTAGGTAGATAGATAAGTGGATGGATGGATAGATAGATAGATGGATGGATGGGTGGTAGGTAAGTAGGTAGGTATAGATGATAGGTAGGTAGGTAGATAAGTAGATGGATGGATGGATGGATGGATGGATGGATGGATGGATGGATAGATAGATAGATAGATAGATAGATAGATAGATAGATAGATAGATAGATAGATAGATAGATGAGAGATATATATGATATGATATGTGGACAATACAATATAGGAGATAAAATGTTAACAAGATAAAACCAGAATAAAACCACCATAATATGGAGCCACGACAGTGGGATAGACGTTATAATTCGATATCTAACGAAGCCAACCCTCTAACTGCTTCTGGTGTGGCTGCAATGGGTTCTTCCCAGGTGCCTTGAAATTTCCTGAGATGACATTCTTGAACTAAGGATGAGGGTGATGGATGTCTCTCCCCCCCCCCCCGCCAAATGTGATTAAAGTGCTAAGTCTCTGTAGAGGAAGCTTAATTTCAGTCCTTGTGAGTTGTCTATATTAGGAAAGAACTTCTGGGAAGCAGAGAAGTTTTCTACAAACCTTTCCTTTCCTTTCCAGGTCTCACTGATGAGGAAATAGATCTGGCCTTCCAGCAATCGGGCATGCCGAAAGAGGAAACCCAGCCGCACAATCTCCCCCCACAATTGGTGCCAAGTCGATCCACACAGCTCGCATCGTACAGTAAGTAGCATGCCGGAAGCCACGAAGCTGTTTTAATTCTGGGCCTCCTTTGGCCGTCGTATTTTTTTCCTGAAGGGCTAAGTCGAGCCTTTGAGCCTTCTGAGGAGTCCAAATTGTCTTCCTCATTTCCCTTTGTCAAAAGTTAGGGTTCCTTCTTGATTTCCTGTTGCAGGGGGATGCTAAGAAGAGGCGAGAAATCTCCCACCGCTTATTAGCCCCAATAAAGGCGTTGTAAAATGAACTATATCTTTGTCCCCTTGCGGAAGCTTGGCTGTTGTCCCTGCTCAGAGAGCTAGAAAGCAAATTAATTAATTGTGTGCAGCAACTCAGACGCGCAGTAAAGTTACTCCCTTTTGGATCTGAAAAGTAATTCAAGCCGTCTTCTGCAGCAGGGTGATCCTGAGGCGAGGAAAGAACGGGGGAGCATAGTTTAACTCACAAAATTGTTGTAGAGTCACAGTTACAAATACAAACACACCGACGGCCTCCAGGTAGAAAGACAGGATGTCAGAGAAAGCGGCTAACTTAAAATTACACAACACAGAGATTTTCACACACTGGGATGTCTTGCGCCGTCTGAAAAACGACCGCAATTTGTTCCAAAGGAAAGCCGCACCTTTGAACGGGACAAGAAATTGTCTCTTTTTAAAGTATTTTCAAGAAATGTGCCACGGTTCCGACAGGTGAAACTCTTCAAAGAACTTCGAGGCAATGTTTACCTTAAAGAATCTTTATTTGAGTAGCATAGCATCGGCACTAACACAATCGAAGCCAAAGACTGGATTCCCCTCCCCTGAGCACATAGTATCAAAGCACAATTCCCTCCCCCAGTTAACAGTCATAAATCACATTCCCCAATTAGCTTGAAACGCAGGCTTCCCCTCCAGCTCTCCAGCCTGGCCAATTCTTATCATCTCTTATTTCAATAACCTTGGTTCTCACACTAGGTTCAGTGTTATGTCTAGCTAAAGTCTCATGCACCTTCCTTCTCCCAGCATCATCTAACTCGTAACTCTAAAAGCAAAACATTAGAAAAAAATGGTTGCATCTCCAACTGTTGTCAACGCAAAAACATCCGATGTTAGCAGCGTTGACAAAACGCTCCTATAGTCTATGAAGTCTCAGAGGTTGCCTGCTTTGCAGAACCAGGAGCATGTTGGGTTGTGGTGTAAATCTGGCAACTACAAGCGACTTGTGCTTCTCCCTATAACCTCATCTCTCTTTGGGCTGGAGCGGGCTCCAGTTCACCAGCAACCCTGCACCAGTGTGAAAATGAATTCTCCTTCTTCACATCTGCCCTTTTTTTTTTTTTTTGCCAAGAGGTGTCAAAACTCTTTCTTTTTTTAAAAAAAAAAAATCCACCTCCAACTCCTTGATTTTGATTAATATAGAGAAACAAGACTTGGGCTGACTGATAATAAAACTGATAAATGACAGGCGAATTACTCGTAGCGGTAATTTATTACGTAAAATATCTTTTATTTGACACGCGATTAGTTGGAGGGAGCATCACTCAATCTGACTAGTTTAAACAGGCTCCTAAAGTGAACCCCCTTACTTGGAGGGGGGGGGAGGAGGAGGCAGGAGAAAGAAAAAAAAATCTGTTATTGGCATGTGTGAAATACTGTCATCCCCAGAGTGAGGATGGCTTTAAGTATTTAAATGATTTATATGGTCTTTCTCCCCCCCACCACCCTGCCCTAACCCACTTCATTACATGGAAATTCTGGGGAGTTCCTTAGCCAAAGGTGTGTGGGAAAGGTGTTCTCAAGATGACCTGGATTTTTACGACTTTCCTCATGTGGGTTTTTCCCCTGAAAGGGATTGCATCAGAGAGAAACAGGTGTTCTTTTGCAATTCCACCTTTCTAAATCTCAAAATAGTCGCTTGGTCCTATAAGCAGGCATCAAGCCGGAGACATTTATCCCTTTAAGGATGCCTGCTGTACGTGCAGTCAGGGAGAATTATTCATTTTGGAATAAAGTTTAGCTCAGTGGTTCTCAACCTTTTTAATGACGCGACACCCCCCCCCCAACCGGTCGTAAGTCGAGGACTACTCAACCGGTCGTAAGTCAAGGACTACTCAACTGGTGCAGCACCGTTTGCAGACTGGGATTTTTGGCGGGCTCAGCAGGGCAGAGACAGCCTGAACAATTCCTGTTGGCTTAGACTCTATTCAAGAGAGTCTATTCTATTGGCTTTCAAAAGCCAATAGAACAAAAGGGAGGAGCACAGCTAAGGAAAAGGGGGAAAAAATGGCGGACTGCGTTGTTTGGCGACCCCCATGAAATGGTCGTTCGACCCCAAATGGGGTCCCGACCCACAGGTGGAGAACCACTGGTTTAGCTCAACCGGGCATCTCCGACGGTATCCCGAGTTGCTGTTTTGATTAGTTTTGGGTTTTTTAAAAAAAAATTCCCCGCCCATGGTTGAAACTTTGGAAAGACCCATTTTGCTCTTTCCAGCTTGGAAAGGAGGCCTCTGCGTGGATAAATGGACTCAGAAGGTGTCCACAATATTTTTTTTTCAACGTCGGCAGCTGGAAGATGGCGACGCTGGCTGGGGAATTCTGGGAGCTGAAGTCCACCCCTCTTCAAGCTGCCAGCTATGAAAAAAACAAAACAAAACAAAACAACCGCTTGTCTTACAATTAAGTAAGCCTTTTCCTTTTGGGACTCTGAAAACCTGGTGTCGCTGAGTCCCACGTGCTTTTGTGGGCACAGAGATCAGCCTCCCCGCCCACATTTTACCCTTCGGATCGGCAGCCCTGCGAAGTCCGCAGAAGGGGCTTATAGGGCAGCCCCCAGCACCGGATCCAGGGTTACCCACTTGATTCTCCCACCCACCCACCCACCGTTGCAGCCAGGAAAGCAAATGGCAAATTCTCCCCCTCCGCTTCCAATTAGTTCTTTTCTCTTTCTCCTCGGCCTCTTTTTTTCTTTTCTTTTTTAATTTTTTTTTTTTTTTTTTTGCCACCCGACAAAATTGTTTCACGCCTCCCGAAAAACCGCGCAAACTGGCATTTCGGCACCTTCTCTTTATAGACTCTCTGAACTTTTCTGAAAGATCATCCCGGTCCCTTTTCATTAATAATGAAAACCAAGGGGCAATAAAATGTTCTTTAGCAGGAGCGTGATGGGAACGGAGGGGGGGGGAGAAGAGAGAGGGAAGGGGTGAGAGGCCAGCGCGGGGCGGGGCTGGGTGGGAGACCCACCAGGGGTCTTTGGGGGCGCTTCTGGAGGTCAAAGCTGTGGAGAACAGGGGAAAGAGCAGCCTTGCTGGAGCACAAACCCCCAAATGGTTGGCCGTCTAAAGATTGTCCAACTTCTGCGACCGTCGGGAGTAACTCCTTCCTTTGAGTTCGCGTGACCCCGATTGAGGTCGATGTTCGCAAGGGACGGGAATACCGGTAGTCCTCGGCTTCACGACCGTTACTGAGACGAAACTTCCATTTGCTAAGCGAGGAAGCATCCAAATTTTGATTATGGGGATACCGCCATGGCCGTCGGTGTGAAAGTTGGCCTTAAATCACACTCTTCGGGGCTGTTGTAACTTTGCACGGTCCCTAAACCAATGCTTGTGAGTTGAGGACTAGCTGCACACACATCTTGTTTTCTTTTTCACCCCCCCCCCACTGGGTCTCCACCCTCCCTATTTCTCTCCCTTCTTAAAGGAACGATTTAAACACTTAAGAAGCTGGGGGGGGGGGGGAGAGATTATCTCTGCCCCTTTTTGAATTCCTGTGACTTTGCCCTCTGATTTGTTTCTTTGCTTGCCTGCTGCCCTTCTGAGGTCCCCCAAGTTCCAGATGGAGAGACTACGGTGCCCTGGCAATTATTATGACTGGCATTGCAATCGGTTTCCACCAGCTTTACAAGGTGAGTCTGATTTACTCAGCCACCCTTCACCCCAGCTTCTCAACCTGGGTTTTTTTTCTCCTTTCACCATCCTGTCCAGACCTCTTTGCAAGGCAGCTTCACGGGCATTTCCACCCTGCTCCCCTCCCCTCTCTTGTAAAGACAGAAAACTTGTATTATTGTCTGGGCCAGGAGCTGAGCATCCTCACGCCTAACTCACCTGGTGTCTTCCTGTCCCTGTTGATCATACCGACAGTCTTCTCTGTATTTATCAGCTGGAGATAGAAGCAGCTATTCTACAAGTCGGTCTTTTCTCAAATCCTTTTTTTTGGGGGGGGGGCAACTACTGCCTTTAGTTGTGGAGACCTGGCTACCTGTTTGCATGCAGCTGGCTCTTGGGAACACGGGCCACTGGATAAATGCACTGCTGTGTGGTTGTGATAGTGGCGAGAAGCAAAGCTTGTGTGTCTGGGTGTTCAAAGGAGCCCCTTTCCCCCCCCCTCCAATTTTCATTCATGAAGTGTTAAGGGCTGTGCAAATTCCTACACATAGCAGAAACCAAATAGCTGTGTTATTAAAAGCGCAGAACGTAATTTGCTAGCCCTAGGCACTTCCATTGGTGTGCATCTTTTTTTTAACGGAGCAAACTCCCTTGAAGAAATATCTTTGAAACACTCTTTCTGCATCTGTGCTTTTTATGGAAGGATAGCTCTAGAGCAGGGCTCTTAAAACTTGGCCCTTTGATGACTTGTGGACTTCAACTCCCAGAATTCCTCAGCCAGCATGCCTGGCTGAGGAATTCTGGGAGTTGGACGTCCACTAGTCATCAAAGGGCCAAGTTTGAAGACCCCTGGTATCGACTTCCTGCTTGAGCAGGGGGTTGGGCTAGATGACCTCTAGCTCAGGGGTCTTCGGACGTGGCCCTTTGATGACTTGTGGACTTCAACTTCCAGAATTCCTCAGCCATCATGCCTGGCTGAGGAATTCTGGGAGTTGAAGTCCACAAGCAGGGGTCTTCAAACTTGGCCCTTTGATGATGACTTGTGGACTTCAACTCCTAGAATTCCTCAGGAATTCCTGAGGAATTCTGGGAGTTGAAGTCCATAAGTCATCAAAGGGCCAAGTTTGAAGCGCCTTGCTCTAGATGAAGAACTCAACTGTTCCCTTTCTAAACTAAATTATCCAAATATTATTGGTGGGGTGAATACTTGCACAAATTCTGACAGAGACCCTAACCAAGATATATATCTTTCTCTGGCTGCCTTTCAAATTGCCTTGAAGTTTATTTCAGAGCTACTAGCCCTAGATTTAACATGGTTGAGAACCTAACCCGGTGCGGCCAGTTGCGCTTTGCACAAGAGGAGAAACGAAAGCAGAGAAAAATATTCTGGGATCCGTATTCGATCCGGATTTAATTGTCTATCCTCCAAATAGTGTCTTCATATCAATATCGTACAAAACCTCCATTAAGGAACTTTGCCACGGCTTTTATGTCTTGGTGCTTAGACTCACCCAATAAAACAGGAATGCAAAAAATAATAAATAAAAAAATAGTATGGAATATGTTACCCTGACTTCGAAGCCCACTTTGATTTGGCCCTCATGGCCGAGGTGTCACAAATCAGTTTCCTTAATTGTGGCTTCAATCACATCAGCCTTTTATCCTTCTGAGGTCGGTAAAATGAGGACCCTGATTGTTGGCGGCCAATGGGCCAAGTCTATAAACCGCTTAGAGAGGGCTGCAAAGCACGGTGAAGCGGTATATAAGTCTTTGAGTGCTATTGCTATCTATGGGAGGGCTGCAGTCCCATCACGGCCTTTCCCACCAATTTGGGAACGTGGGCAGCCCAGCTCTGAGTTTGAACCAACTCCCTTTTGTCTCTTTTTCCCGTTTTCTGTAGAAATACCTGCTTCCCCTAATCATGGGAGGCAAGGAAGACAGGAAGCAGTTGCAGAGGATCGAGTCAAACATGTCCGAAATGAGTGGCAGCGTGACGCAGACAGGTAATAGATTAATGATCCCCACCAGCTCCTGCCCCTCACAGCCCCTCCCCTGGCGTCTGCCCCCCCCTTGCCTTCCTTTCCCCCCCCCACCCCCACTTTATGTGGCGACTTCATTTATCTGCTCTGAGAAATCTGTTCACATTTGCAAATGAAGCCGCCGTCATTTCGGTTTAATTTGAAATTGCTTGTTTACTGTCGGCGCGGCCTCAATTAATTATGTTTTTACCGAAAGGCTCCCAACCTCAGAATATTAATAAGGGGAATCAAATGACAGCCTTTTCGAAGGGGCTGTAAAGTTCATTTTTAATTTCTGCTTCTTGGGAGTATTTTCTTTGGGGTCGGGTGTTTTGGTTTCACGCACACACAGACACACACAGACACACACGCGTATAGATATATAGATCTAATGAAAATGGCACCTGTTTCTCTTCTTCTCGAGTCACTTTTTTCCTTCCAAGACTTCAGCGCGGGTCAGGAATGTCTGTAATTATTGGAAGTGTCTCCTGACCCCTTCATCTTTTTCCCTTATTGGTTCTGCAGGGTAGTGTTTATTATCCGAGCCCCGTTAGATGGCCCAGATTAGCTGTTAGCTGTCACACTTGTGGAATGCTTTCTTTACAAGCCTCATTATTGGATGGGACTCCTGAAATTATAATTTTGAACACACACCCCCCACCCCTCTTACCAATAAAGCTATTTTTCTCCAGTACGTGCAAGTTTTCAACGTTGGAGAGTCCTTAGTCTAGCCTTGCTGAATTGGACACCCGCCCCCGGATGGGTTGCATTGTAGCACACCGCATTTGAGCACCCTCCTACCACATCTAGAAGAGAGTTTGGCAGCTTGGGGGCATCAACTCCCAGAATTCCCCAACCAGCCTGAGTTTGATCTGGAAAGCCATCTGGGGGGGGGAAGCATCTGAGAGACTTAATGAGCCTAGCTTGGAGAAGAGAGGCAGAGTTGTGCATTCCCTTGCTGAGGGAGGGAGGGAGGGAGGGAGGGAGGGAAGGAAGGGGAGGGAAGGGATGGGAGGGAGGGAGGGAGGGAGGGAGAGGAGGGAGGGAGGTAAGGAAGAAGGAAGGAAGGAGAGGAGAGGAAAGGAAGAAGGGAGGAAGGAAAGGAAGGAAGAGAAAGAGAGGAAGAGAAGAAGGGAGGGAGGAAGGGAAGGAGAGAGGAAAGGAGGAAGGAAGGAAGAGACTAGAGAGGAAGAGAAGAAAGGGAAGGAAGGAAGGAAGGAAGGAAGGAAGGAAGGAAGGAAGGAAGGAAGGAAGGAAGGAAGGAAGGAAGGAAGGAGAAAGGGTGGAAAGGGAGGAAGGAAAGGGAGGAAGCTAGAGAGCCATGTTTGGGCCAAGATCAGGAAGGAAGGAAGGAAGGAAGGAAGGAAGGAAGGAAGGAAGGAAGGAAGGAAGGAAGGAAGGAAGGAAGGAAGGAGAAAGGGTGGAAAGGGAGGAAGGAAAGGGAGGAAGCTAGAGAGCCATGTTTGGGCCAAGATCAGGAAGGAAGGAAGGAAGGAAGGAAGGAAGGAAGGAAGGAAAGATCGATCCATTAGTCTTTCTGGGGAAGGGATGAGGAAGACAGATCCTCATCTGTGTGCTCAGGGGGATCTCCGCTGTCCAGTGAGGCCAGGCCTCGGCTGCATTTTGCCCCCTCCCCTCCCGCATCCTCCCTGGGCAGCCAGCAAAGCCGTTTCCTGGCCTACCCTGGAGGCAGATAAATTACCCTGACGCTGCACCCATTCAGAGAAAGCGTGCAAATCATAGGCGGTCATAATTAGAAGGGAGAGGTTTCAGACGGCTACCCTGTGAGCTACAGACATCTATACAAAGGGGAGACAAAATAGGGACGGTGGAGATTAGATACAGCGCAGGTAGATTACGGCAGAGCTCCCGATAAATTATAAGCGGTTAGAGGCAGTAGAAGCCGGCAGATAAATCAGACCTGCGAGAAATGGGAGAAATGGGGGATCTGCCGCTCTGTTCGAGGAATCTCTCCCTAACTCCCCCCCCCCTTTGTATGCCATCCTAATTTAATCATCCTTCTCCTCTTTCCTTGCACAGTGACTCAGCTTCAGACCACTTTAGCCTCTGTCCAGGAGCTGCTAATTCAACAGCAGCAGAAAATCCAAGAGCTGACCCAGGAACTGGCTAACTCCAAGGTAGTCTCGCTTTCCGACTGGCCTACAACCTTCCCAGCAATTTGCCCCCCCCCGCCCCAAATCCCAATTAAGACGGCTGGAAAAGGTCCAGACAGAGCACGACGGCCCTGTTCCGTGAAGGCCGAACGAAACCTCCACGTCCAGTAGCAGTCTAGCTCTCACTGACCGGAAAATGTCAAGGGAATCTGGGAATGGGTTTAGCGGAGAAACAGGCAAAAAAAAATTACTAAGTGGTTCCCTTAACTTCCATCCGACAGTTTTTCTGACCGTTAGAACAATTAACCGGTGGAACAACCTGCCTCCAGAAGTGGTGAATGCTCCAACAGTGCAAGTTTTTAAGAAGAGACTGGACAGCCATTTGTCTGAAATGGTATAGGGCAGGGGTAGGCAACCTTGGCTTTTTTATGACTCGTGGACTTCAACTCCCAGAATTCCTGAGCCAGCCAGGCTGAGGGGAAAGGGAGAGGTTTCCAAGCTGAGCCATGCTCAGGAATTCTGGGAGTTGAAGTCCACGAGTCATGAGGGGGCCATAGTTCCCCCATGCTGGCTCAGGAATTCTGGGAGTTGAAGTCCACGAGTTGTGAGGGGGGGGTCATAGTTTCCCCATGCTGGCTCAGGAATTCTGGGAGTTGAAGTCATAAAAGAGCCAAGGTTACCTACCCCTGGTATAGGGTTTCCTGCCTGAGCAGGGGGTTGGACTAGATGACCTCCAAAGTCCCTTCCAACTTTATTATTATGATTATTATTATCATCATCATCATTTAGAAGCTGGTCCATGGGGCCAGATGCGGTAAAGCAGGCAGTGGGGCTACCTAGGGCACCCACAAGTTTTATTTTATGCCCCCCCCCCTTTAGCTGTCTTGGGTGGCCTGTAGCCAGGCAGGAAGCAGGATTTGGGTCTGAAGTGTTGTTATTAAGAGCACATGTCATGCTTTAAGGAAAAAGCATGGGGCTTCAAGGATGGGGGAAAGTTCAAACGTCTTTCCTCCCCCCCCCCCCACACACACAGACAGACACACTTCTTAATATAGCAGCACTCTACTCTGTGATCAAAAACTTTCTATGTGCACACACACACACACACACACACACACACACACACAGAGAGAGAGACTTGGCTGAACCTATCCACTCTAGAGTAAAAACAAAACAGGAAAAGTAAGAGTTCTCACAGCTGCAGCCTGCGTTTTCCTAATCCACTTTTCAAATGACTGGCGGCATGTTGTAAGAATTAATTTTTTTAAAAAAGGGGAGGGGGAGGCTTGAAGCAATTAAAAGAATCTACACCCCGTCTTTAAAAAAAGGGGGGGGGGAAGAAGGAGAAGATTGCAGAGGTACATTTTCCACTCGGGGTGTGTGTGTCTGTGGGTTTCTGCCGTTGTTTAAAAGAGGCGGCCTTAAAAAGGCCCAGATGTCAGGGTTTCTTCCTGAAACCCTCCAGCATCTGGCGCCAGATGTGCCTTGGCAGGCCAGCCAGTGGGAAGCGCTCTCTCGTTAAATGTACTTTGGTAGTTTTCAAAAAGGCCGGGAGAGCCAAAACGGTGGCGGCGAGGGCTGGGCTGGGGTGGGGGAGATCTGGCATTCCCCGGGGAACCACATCTGTGCCTGCATTTGCCAGCTGCCACAACGCCAGCCAGAGCAGGCTCTGGAGCCAGCTGTTTAGCCTTACGGGAAGCGTCGGCACAGTGGAGGATCCTTGGGAACCGCAGTTCCTCTCATTCTGAGCTGGGCACCGGGTGGCATTTTTCAGACAGGTGTGCCCGGCCTCCCTGGGCATCTGCTGCTGACTCAGGCACTTCCCCCTGTTGAGTCTGACACCTTAACCACAACACCACACCGCCCGCCCACCCCTCCAAGAAGCAGAAATAAGCTCTTCTGGATCAAATAGCAGATTTCCCCCCCCCCCCTCTCTGCAAAGTGATTGTCAACTCTTCTGGATGTTAGCTTGTGTAGTCCGTTGATAGATGGTCTATATGGGAATATACAGCCTTGCCTGCTGGACCAGCTCAAGATTTATTTACGACAGGTAGACCTCCACCGATGAGCACAACAGCCCAGAATTTCTGTTGCTAAGCAAGACAGTTGTTAAGGGCCTTTCTCCCCCCTCATTTTACGACCTTTCTTACCACATTGTTAAACGAAACACTGCAATTGTTACAGTTAGTGACACTGGGATCCCGTTGCAACCGTCTTAAGTACATGCCAGTTACTAAGCCTCTGAATTTCGGTCACATGACCCCCTGGGGATGCTACAGCGGTCCTAAGTGTGCAAAACGCTCCTACGTCCATTTCTTCAGCGCCGTTTCAAACAGACAAGTGGTTGCAAATCAAGGACAACCTGTAGTTGGTATGCCTCCTATACAGACCCGGATGGGGGAGAGGCGATCTTCCCATTTAATCTGCCTAGCAACCTGTGATCGGGTCTAAGATCCCCTCTGTCGGAGGATTAGCAACAAAGAGATGCTTCTGTAAGTCCACCAAGGGCCCCCAAAACATAACTCTTTGCTTGCTGGGCCTGGAGATGGGGTTTAAATTAAACCACCTTGAGACACATTCATCCAATCCTTGCTTTTAAAGCCGGTCAAGACAAGAGACTTCACTTCATCTTTTTTCATATTTATACTGTCCCACAAAGCATTACCAACCCCTTTGTCACACCACCCACCTCTTTTGGCTTTTGACAAAAAGGGAACAGTTGGTGCTGGTCTGGGGCCTATTCGTGTTTCCTCTAGGGGGGAAAAAATGTAGATATTTTTATGAAGTTCCCTGGAAAGATAGCCACTGCCGGGCACACGATTGAGGTTGTGTCATTTAAGTGAAAGATTTTTTTTTCCCCTGATTTTTGACTCCAATCCCTGCTTTGCCTCTTAGGCCACCACATCGACCAACTGGATTTTGGAATCTCAGAGTATCAGCGATCTGAAGTCGGAGATCTATTCGCTAAAAGGGCTCCTCCTGAACAGGTAAGGAATAAAAGAAATGTGGAAGAGGGAACAGAGCCAGACCTTGATCCAGCAAGATAAATAAAAATTCCTCCATCCTTTGAAGACACAATTCACAGACTCGCAACCCCTTCACAATAGCTTCTGGTGCCGCCGTTTCATCCATCATTCGGTTTTTATGCTACCAGTCCAGCGGCTTTACGCAGTTTATAAGAGGCCTCTAACAGTCATTTATTCATCCGGTTATTTTAGATATACTCAACTTTGGGGCTCCTGAGTGAGATGAAATTAAAATGGCCCACCTTTCTGAAATGGAACAGTTTTAAAACAAATTAGATGCACATCAGATGTACAGAAGTTTCCGCATTGCCTTGTAATAGAAGAACTTAAGGTTGTCACCGAGTGAAGGAACGTTCCAGTTTGACGAGCAAGGGCTCTGCCCAGGGCACAGAATTCACCCGTGGAACTCTGTGCCACAAGATGGGAGGGTAGCCACCTTTCAAAGAAATTTAAGCAACGTGAATGGCCTGTAGGTATCCGTTGCCTCGCAAGGAACAAGGATGCTTGACTAGAAGGCCTATGGAACTAGTGAACGTTACAGCCCTGGATTACTTTAATTAACTGGGGGCTTAGGCTAGAGTAGATGATCCTCAGGGACACCTCCACTCACAACTTCCCTCTAATTAAAGTAATTAATGAGATTTGGTCCAATCATGGATTTTTTTTCCGCTGAAGAGTGAATCCCAGGCCGTCCAAATATGGAGGTGCTTCAATTTGGTTGGTCTCTTTTTTTGCGCTTCCGAGGTGCTTTTTGCTCCAGAAGGAACACAAGACACACTTAAAAAAAAAACCTGCAGTGCAGTTTCTTAAAATGTTTCATACATTTTAACAGCCAGGTTGAAAATGACAGTCGCCTCTCCTGGGGCTGGGGGCACCTTGGGGAGGGGGGGGTTTCAGAAAAGGGGTCCTTTGCTATTTGGCAAATTCTTTTATCGCACGGACTTTCTCGCAGGGGAAAATGGCGCTGATGAGCCGTGGGGAGGGGGAGAGAGAGGGGCCCCCCGAGACAGCCCCCCCTTCCTCCCCACCGCAACCCCCCCCCGGTTTCAATATTCCGTTCCTGCCAGTAGCGTCAAGGCGAACAGCACAAGGGCAGCCGTGCTGTATCTGCGTGTCCGCGGGAGGACATCTTGTCATTAAGGAGAAATTCATTTATTGTTAGTAGGACTGGCGATGTGCGGCTGGTGGTGTGCTAATGCAGCTGGGAAGATAAGTGCTCTTGGAAAATATATTTCTTAAAATAAATAAACAGAGCCAAGCCGAGCCCGCCCTGGCTGCCAAACAGGAGGCCGTGTCACGGGATCCAAGAAAAAAAGTCTCTAAATTGAATTTCTGATAGCATTTACGATACTGGTGAATAATGGGGGCGGCACTGGCTCCTTCCCAAGCAAAGGTCCGGAGTGGCTGGGGGGGGGGAAATCAGGCATTTGGGGCTGGGGGGGCAGGATCCTTATATGGGAAGGACTTCTAGGTGATATTCCAGGGAAGCCTGGAGCAAGAGAAGGAAAAGCCTGTTTGAGGAAGGTCAGTTGGACAAAAGGCTGGATGTCCTGAGCTGGACATGGGCTCACACTACAGAGCAGAATTCTGAGCTGAATTCTGTCCTGTAGTGTGAGCCCACCACGGCGTCCAGCAGGGCCCTTTGACTATTGGTCACTGCCAACTTGCTATGGGCAGCTCGCCACGGCCAGCTCTCCAGTCAATTTCCAACCTTGCATTTTTCTTTTAAATGCCCATAGATGTCTTTCCCCGGACACTGTAAAAAAGAACTGTGTGTGTGTGTGGTTCTGGAGATGACTTAACTATTGCAGTTATTGGGTTCTCAGCCCGAGTAATTGAACCGTGTCTATCTCAGAACATTCTTTCGTTCTACGTCACGAGGGACTGACCGGCTTCCTTTTTTTCCTTCCCCTTTCTTCTCCAGGAGACAGTTTCCCCCCTCGCCCTCAGCTCCCAAAATCCTGTCCTGGCAGATCCCGGTCAAGGCCGCTTCCCCCTCTAACCCGGTGACCAATAACCACAACACAAGCAGCGACATCTCACCGGTCAGCAACGAGTCCAACTCCCCTTCGCCCGTCAAGGAAAGCCACAGCCCCGAGGGGACCACGGCGGGCTGCCACCTGGCCAGCCCCGAGGAAGAAGGGGAGGCGGTGATCGACCTGAAGGGCCAGGTGAGGATGGAGGTGCAAGGGGAAGAGGAGAAGCGGGAGGAGCAGGCCCGTATAGAGGAGGAGGAGGAGGAGGAGGACAACCACGTGGATGAAGAGGATGTCCAGACGGAGGATCGGCGAGGAGGCGACGGGCAGATAAACGAACAGGTGGAGAAGCTGCGGAGGCCCGAAGGTGCCAGCAACGAGAATGAAATTGACTAGCTGGGGGCGCAACTGGAAACCCCCCCCCCACTCACCCATCTCGGTAGTCTTCACCAAGGCTCTGATCGTCCCCTGGCCTCACTTCCCTGCTTCAGCCCGAGTCATCCTTGCAATCTCGCCCGCCAGGCAGGTGACAGGCCCTCCCCTCCCTGCCTGCCTTTCCTCACTGCAGACCCCCCAGCCACACACACACACACACACACACACACACACACCAGGTCTCCTCTTGCTCTCCCTGTGCAGCCAGACCTCTTAACTGTAGACCCAGCCGGTCCTCTCATCCCCCTTAGGAATTACAAAGGTTTCAGTTGGTGGGTGTGGGGGGGACCCCTCATTTCCACCTGTCCTTCACTTTGGGGGGGCTTCTGGCCTCCCCCACTGACCCGCGTTATTTATTGCGTTCAGCCTGGAGAGCCGAAGGGTGCGGCTTCCGCTCTTTGCTTTGCAGTGTGGGGGGGTCTTTGCTGAGCAGCCGCTGCTGATGCCCGTGCGCACGAGAGAGAGTTGGGGGGATTCCAGCCCCGTGGAAACCTCTCCCCCCTCCCTGCTTGCCCTCTTTCTTGCATCCCTCTCTCCCTCTTCCTGCTTTTTTGCCGTCTCAGAGGGTCTGGGGGCTTCCTGCAGCTCTCCAGGGGTGCTGTTCTTGCCTGGGGAGACCCCCCCCCCGCTTAGCACAGCTCCCCCTTTCCTCCCTGCGGCGCTAGGTAGAGGCAGTTCTCCGTGACTCAATCCCCAAATGGAGCCATTTCGGGGGCCTCCATCTTTTCCTCATGGATGGGGGCCTGTGTGTGTGTCCCCCCCCCTCTTCCTCCTCCTCCCCGCTCTCCCGCCTTCAGCCTGGTTGGGTGGGAAAAAAGAAACCAGGTTTTCGAAATCTGGTCTTCTGGCGTTGTGTTCTCGGGTGTTGCCGCGGTGTCGGTTTCCATTCCCTTCATTAAAAGAGCCTCGAAACCAGTAACCAACGTCGCGAGACTCCTCGTCTTTGCTCCTTGCCGAGAGGAAATGGCGGAACGTACTCCTCTGTGTGATCATGTATAGAATTCCAGCATAAAATATGACTGTATATAATTGTAATAAATATGAGTTACCACTGTTTCACGCTGGGTGGTGGCTTGTCTGTCTCTGGCTTCCTTCCTTCCTTCCTTCCTTCCTTCCTTCCTTCCTTCCTTCCTTCCTTCCTTCCTTCCTTCCTTCCTTCCTTCCTTCCTTCCTTCTTTTTTCTTCCATTATTGGCTGTTTTCACTCGAGGGAAGAAGCGAATAGTTCACAAACCTGGCAGAGGGATTGTGTTGCTGTTGGGACCGTCAGAAAGTAAACCGATTATTTTAGTCCCAACAGCTGGAATTCCACTTATGGAGACTTCTTCTCTTTTATTTCTTTTTTAACTGGGTGGTTTCTTTTCTTCTGGTCCCGGGTGATTGTGGAAAGCGAGGCAGCGTAAATCAGGGCACCCCTTGAAGGGTTAGCTTGTGAGAACAGATGGCTCTTATTCTCACCTGGGACATAGGAGTTGTCTTTTTGTGTTAATTTCTTTTTAAATTTCACCGACAAAGTTATAAAGGGAGACTAGGATAGCTATTTCGAGCTTTTTAGCCCTCGTCAGCTAGCCATACCCTTCTGAGATGGCTAGCTGATGAGAGCTACAAAGCTCAAAATGGCTATTCTAGTCTCCCTTTAATTCTTTGTCGGTAAAATTTAAAAAAGAAAATTAACAGAGAAATAGCAGAATGCCCACGAAGATTGGGGCTGAAAGGCAAAAACAGAAGCAGCTTGCTCCGTCCCATATTTGGATACACCAGGAAAAAACAACCACCACTTGGTTTGTGTTTTTGCATTTTGTCTGAACGAGGCGTTTCGCTGGGGCTATAAAAAAGAGGGCTTTTAAATCAGCCAGGTTGATGTGAGTTGGTCTGCCAGGATGCGACTCAGGCCATGTTTCATCCTCGGCCATCGTTGTCAGTTTGTACAGCTTAGAACCTTGCTTAGTCGGCGAACCAAAGTTAAGCGTGAAGTCACCCCCTGACAGCCTGTTGTTAAGTTGTGGTTTGGCTAGGGCTGTCACCAGTGGCTTTTGAGGCTTCTTCAGTCTGTCAAACAGCTTCCCCTGATGGTGCCTTTGCCCCCTTTTTCCCTCTCTTAAAAAGTAAAGCATCCAGTTTACTTCTTGAGGAACCCAAATATGATTTGATTTAAATTTATCACTTGTGCAAGTGGGAAATGAAGTCCGGTGAGGTGAGTGGGTGGGTGTGCTTTGTCTGCGCAACTGTGCACAAGGAAGGCGGCACGGCCACGCAACTCCGACAGATTGAGCCAGAACTTTAGAAAGCAAATTTCTGGCTAGGAGATTGTGGGAAGAATAATAATAATAATAATAAAAAAAACAGGAGCCAGGCTCTGCTGAGATGGCACAACTTTTAACAGATCCAATAATTACTTAGGGGAAATCCTTTAAAGGCAGGGACCCAAAAGGCTGGCAGAATAATGGCCAATTTCTTCGATTTTCTTTGAATTATATTTAGGAACGGAAGGAGTGGCCGCGGGCGGCAGGTCAAATCCTGGGGCATTGATCTTGCAGCTGTCTGCTTTGACTGGCAGGCGAACTCCAGGGAGACCCCCCCCCCCAGCACCACCAAGGTTTTTCCCCCAAAGCAACTCCCTGCAAAGTGCTGGCCTTGACGCGCCTCCGATCTGCAGCACTCTGCACGGGGCCCAGAGGCCACACGGTGCAAGGCAGAATAATAATGGCAGCGTAGGTGAGGTGCTCTCCTTCCTGCAGAATTCCTCTTGGGAGTCGAGAAAGGGGGGGTCTTGGCGGTCCTTCCCCCCCTCCTCCTTGCCAGACCTGCGTCTGGTACAGGGTGACATATCCCGGCTTGCGGGGCGAGCGAGAGAGAAGGGACCGTTCCATTACTGTATTTAGACCTGTTATTGACTGTGGTGATTTCCCATTCCTTAAATGGATGAAAAAGGCCGGGCCCGTCTTCGCTCGCTCTCCCTCTCCTTTCATGTTCACGAGGAACCTTAGATTTTGCTAAAAGAGGGCAAATTTTTAAGAGGGCTCCCGAGCCCTTTCCCCTAGATCCCACCCACCCACCTCCCCTTTTTTCACCTCCTGCTAGCCAAGAATCCTTGTCGGATGCAAACAACAGGATCAAAGGCGCAGAGGGTACAATGAGCAGAGGAAACACTGACTTTTCAGCATCTGCCTAATAGAGAGAGAAGAAAAGGGGGGGGGGAACAGAAACAGGCCATCCCCGGTGAAAAAAATTCGGCCGGGGCGACTGCAAAGAGCAGGGGGATTTTGGAAGAGGAGGGCAAACCACTTTGTGAACTTGGCCCCCGTTTTCTTTGGATTCCGAAGTGGCTTATGAAAGACCCAACGGAGCTGGGTGGCCTGCATCTCTTTTTTTTCCCCCTTGTGTGAACTAATTTAAAGCACAGGCTCCGTCCTTCGAATGAATTATTAAAATCTCCAGGCAAATCTATTTTATTTTATTTATTTATTTTTGCTGGAAATGCAAACCCAGCTTCCTTTTTTTTTTGACTTTGGATTTATTTATTTTTTTTCCCCTCGTACACGGAATCGGCCTTCGCTCCGGCTGTTTGCATTTGACGGTCGTCATCGTAGTAGTAGTAGTAGTAAAAAGCAAAAACAAAAAAACAATTGCACGGGTTTTGTTTTCGAGAGGCAGCACCCAATAATTACGGCAAGGCCCTTTTAATAAAGCAGAGCCCTGGGAAGTGAAGCATTTGTGAGGTAGGTCAAATCGTAGATGGGAAGGTGGTTAGTCAGAAAGGCAACCCTTACATTGCACGCAAAGCAAGCAAACAAACAGGCTTTGTTCCAAACTAGAAACTATTTACTGCATTTGGTGTGTGGGTTTGTAAGTCTTTGTTGATTTGTGGGCTGCCCTTTGTTGAGGGGCGCAAAGGCACTTGCTGAGTGCTCGCTTTCCCCATTTTTACCCCTAACCACCACCTTGTAAGGTAGGTTGGGGCTGAAAAAATAGATTTGAATCAATTAAACTGAGGTTAATCTGCCCTTAGCAGCCATGGTGGTTACCGAAACCCCTGCGGGGGTCACCTCTCTGCTGTGGTTGCCTCCGATACCTGTTTGCACAGAAATTGGCTGTAAGGCTGCTGCAAGGGGTGTGAAACTAGAAACCATGCTTGATAAACCCCAGATAAACCATAGATGGCAATTTGCTAGCCCGAAAACCCCTGCACAATTTCTTGGGGAAGTTTTGTGAAACAAAGCCGGATATAACAAAATGTTCCTTGCTTGGTTCTTTGCATGGTGTGTGTGTGTGTGTTTTTTTTACCTACACAGGACTTCGGGACCATCAGCCGTGCTTTACGTTGTAATGCTTGCGTCCTGACACCTGTCTTGCCGAGCTGCAGGTGTGGCTGTTGCACTGCCAGGTTTTTAAATGTTGTGTGCTCTTTCGGTTTTTAAAAAAACGAGCATCGCTGCTGCAGGGTGTGTGTGTGTGTGTGTGTATGCATGCAGAGAGGAAGGAAGGAGGACTCTGGTGTCTGCTGCGAATCCTGACCTTCCTCCTTTTGTAGCTGCCCGGCACAACGTTCCATCCAGGACTTCCTCTGTTGGATTTCAGCCTGTGGCCTGGTGCTTTAATGGCCCTTAAGTAGCCAGAGTAGGGAGGGCCAGGGACGTTCCCTCCTGAACGACATTTGGCTTTGCCTCTTTGCCCCCCCCTCCCTGGAAATTGGAGGAGGAGGCCAGCTCTTTTTCTTCCCCCTTTCCTTAGAAAAATAGCATCTGTCACCCAAATAAGGTAAAAATATTTGAAATGGGGCAGAAGCGAGCTCACTCGGAGAGCTTTTCTACAAAAGGAGAGATTCTTTCCTGGCAAGGCTTGATTTTCGTAGTTTTGCAGCTCCACTTCTGGGGACGAGGAGCCCCAGAGATTTTGTCATGGGCATCACAGACACCAAACCCTCCGGGTCCCATCCTCGGGGGCTGAGCTGAGGGATTTAAACTCAGGGGGACGGGGGGGGGCTCAAAGGGACAGTCCTTGCTGTTTGTGGGTCCCGGGCCTCCTGGCCAGCCTTCTCGTCGCTCCCACCATGCCCTCCTCTGTTTTCTTTCATTTTCTGCCGTGGGATCTTTGTTCCTGGTGCTCAGGGGTGGCATTTGGGGAGGGGGCAGGCTGAGCCCTGTGTCCTCCCCAAGAATCCCGGGCTCGTGTTTATTTGGTTGATTTAATCTTTTTTCTTCCCTGACAGAGACTCGGAAGAGGCAAAGTGGTCATTTCCCCTCTTCCTTGTTGGCTGGCCTTGAAAGCCTGCCTTTCCCCACCCTGGCCCTTCAGATGTGTGTGCCTGTGTACACACACACACACACACACACACACACACACACACACACACACACAAACGTTGCCAGGAAGGGCTCCAACTCTGCTTGAGTTCGGGGTAGCCCGTGCAGCGTTCTCTCAGCCCAGATTTTCCTGCGGGGAAAGTCGCCAAGCAAGACCTTCCTGAGCATACGCAGAGAGCTCTCCCCACCAAAGTCCGCTTCCGGGGTCTTAATGGGCGTTTAAAAACTCACGGTGAGAACTAGCCCTCCTCAAGACAGCCAACCTGCCTGATGAAACGGCTTGTTTAATATCGGAAAGGCTGATTCATTTCTGTACAATCGGCCTGTCCTGTTTGCAGCATAGTTTCCCCTCCCCCCCTCTCTCTTTATAGCATCCTGTAGGGAAAATAATAATAATTTTTTCCCCCAGATTTTTCATTGTGGGCCCGTTTAGTCATTCCAATCCAACTGGGAAGGTCTTGCTAATTTCAAGTTGGCTTTTTCCAGTCGCCTCCAGGAAGGAGATGGATTTGTCTCGATGCAGAAAATGTTAAGACACACACACACACACACACAACCTGTAAAGAGTGCAAAGGGAGTGCCTGCTTTGGGGTTGTCACGTCTCTCAATAACCACATTCAGCTCAAACTTTGAAATCATTTGAATGTAATGGCCTTCAACACCAATTTCTCCGTCTCCCTTCTACTAGTTTAGCTTTCACGCCTGTGAAGGAAACGGCTCGTTCTGAGTCAGTTTGGGGCTGTTTTCAAAGGGG